GAAAAATCAAAACAGTGCTCACAAAGTTGGCGATTTGTGGGCAAAACTCCAGTCTCGGACGGGACTCGAACCCGTACTTGTCCTTTCCGGGGACCGTGCTCTTATCCCTTACACTACCGAGACCCCGCTTGCCCTCGCCTTCTTAATGGCTTATATGCCATAGCTTATCAGCACTCACACGTACAACGTGTTGAGCCGGTCGGCCGAAATCAGCACTGAACCGTTAAGCTGAAAGCTTTACATGTTAGTACTTGTTTTGACTTGATGTTTTGTTAACTGCTGTTTTAACTTTTTTTTGTCTGTTTTGATATTTATTCAAAACATCAAGTCAAAACAGTGCCTTTCTCGCGGGATAATAGCTAATGAAAAGCTTTCTTTCAATTTTTAGATCCTATCAGTTACCGCAGTGTACGTCCGTCTGGGGATTACCTCATGCTCAGAGCAGCGCAAGCTCGTACTTTTCCAGGAGATATGGGTAAGTGATACTTTTCATTCCTTCAACCAATAGAAAAAGAAGCTACTGTTTTAAGAGAAAGTGAAATATGAACAGCTTTTGAAGAGGGAAAAAGCGTTGATGAAGTCATGATTCCTACTACTTTCTAATGAATAGATGTCCAATAACTGATGAAACCATTCATTGCCCTTTCCTTTCCTATTCCAAGAGTTCTTTCTATTTTCCTTGTATTGCACTTCGAAGAGCTTGTTGATTGATGAAGTAATATATCATACTTTCATTTATTGTGAATTACTTTTTTCTTTTAAATGAAGTACTTTAGTCATTAGAATTTCAAAGCTTATGTGATTTGCTATGGTTTTAATGAAGACTGTCAATAAAAGGCTTCAAAAACTGCAACAAGGTGTAACACGAGTACTGCTGAGAATTTCAAGGGTCACAAGTGGGGCGACTCATTTGTGGGACTCAAGTTTCCATTAGGTCGTCTTCTGAAGATTGATATGCTCTTCGAGGTTTTCCATTGAACTATTAAGCAGCTAAGCTGACCGTATGCGAACGGAACTCTACTAGCAGATTACTACAGAATCAAATAACTAGTCAGCCAAACTGAGAGGGCCACGAGCTACGAGAGGATCGGATTAAAACCACCTGGGAAATGTGAGACGTACGGAAACGCTGGCAAATCAAACTAACATAGTGAGGCGCTAGTTGAAGAGAAGTTGAAGAACTCAAAGGCAAAGTTTATGGCAAAAATCACTTCATAATTGTCTACTGGAATCAAACGCTGCCTCCCCAATCAAAGAAAAAGGGCCAAAAACGAAGATTAAACTTGTGGTCCGCCAACTCCGTGGTTTTTCAGGCTTGCTTCGAAACCAATGCACTACACTGCATTGAGGCCTCCGTGTTTCCATTGAAAATAGAACCAGCAAAATATTGTCGAAAACTTAATTTCTGAGAAGCAGAGTCTTAGAAAGGATCACTCGATCCTAGACCGTGAGTACAATGATCGTCTTCGATTTTTGCCATTTTCTTGTACCAAATCTTTTATGGGGGTGAGGAACGCGGAACGTAATATCAGCTGGCTCCAACGGGTAGTGATAAGGCCGATACTGTTTTCTGAAGTCACGAAAATTGCGATTGGGAACTGCTGTATCGTCAACTCTTATGGAAGTGAATAAGGTCAGGTTTTATCAATTCATTACTAGTTAGATTCGTAGTGGCTGGTGATGAAGCGTTCAGTCCCTTGTTTATACAGTCTTTTTTGAGCCCTGTGTAAATAAATAAGGTAAATACCGTTCCAACCTGTTAACTGATAAGCATGACCCCTTGATAAAATTCAACAACTCGTCATAACCCAATTGCTGACAGCGAAGCGACGACGAAACACTTCCCTGTTAGAACTACTCATGTCTATTCATATTGATGGTACAGTTTTTGAGGATATTCAGCGGGTAAGTGATGAGTACATCCTGATTTTTCGAACATTTCCTCTTTTTTTGTTGACTTTTTGTTCCTATACTTCTAAAGGGAGGGGCTTATCCCAAAGACGGAATTCACTGACTCCGAAGGCATATTACCTCCACAACCGAATTGCTTCAGAACTGACAAGTTCTTGAGACTTCTAGTAGTATTTCGAAATATGCTGATCTGAATTTTCATGCCGGAACAATTGACATTTCAAAAAATAATGTTAAAAAAGCGAATTTTTTGAAGATAAGGATTTATAAGCAAGAATTGGCAGAATTCTGCGCCAATAGGAGGAGTGAAACTAGTTGAAATCAACGAAGTATGCGAGAGCAACAAGTATATGTGAAAATAACATAGTTGTAAAAAATAATTGAATAAAATTGAAAGGTGACCCAGCTTTTCTCCTAGTCTTGTGTAGGTCCTTGTATGTGGGCTACGATTTAGTTTGACTCCTCTGACACCAAACTTTGAAGTTTTTATTGCCTCAAGATGTGCCTAACTCGGCTCCTAGACGTTTCTTAACTGGAACCATTTTCAGACCATTGATCGCGTTGCCAATCATACTGATGAATTAATCACTGAAATACAAATAACACTCAATGGGACGACGATTGTGGTGAGTTCCTTGAACGTTTGCTCAGCTATATCCTAGGTTTATGTTGTCTAACTTCCATACAAAAGTTAGTTGCTGAACTGCTTTACACTAAAAAAATACCATGAAATGGTGTACTTTTTCGGTGCTAATTTTATGTGAGGGAGAATAAAATTCTCTGGCTCTCAAACTAGTAATTACTTCTTTATATTGTGCCACATAGGCAGAGGTGGTTTAGTGGCATAAGGTGCACTATCTCACACGCAAGGGTACGGGTTCGAGTTCCGCATCGGTAACCGCTTAGATCAACCAAGCCTTTGATCTCTTCGGGTTGGTTAATTAATATACCCCACTACGATTTTGAATGGAAGTAAAATGCAGGGCGCATCCCTCAGAAGAGATTGATTAATGCTCAAGACTTCGTCCTTTATCCTTTTATCATGCCAGATGCAAAAACACCACCAATCTGCTTTCTCAAACTGCATTTAGTTGGCGTCCGATAAGTTAGCTCAAAGGCACAGTTCACGATAAAAGTTTCTCTGAGATTCCCCCACAGGATGAATTTAGTCCCCCGCGTATGCCATATCTGGCACTTTTAGGTCAAGAAACGGCCTAGTTGGGGAGTTATAAAGGATCAAAGATAGGCCCATGTGTATCCTGTGGACGAGTTTCACCGGTATTGCAGAGGCTGCACCGATCACAAGGGAACCATGTAGGAAGTTCAAAAAACTTGTCATGACCTATAGCGACAGTGAAAGACAGTTCTGTACAGTTCTGACTTGAGGTAGTCAGCTCTTTGTGCAATTGCAACAACTGAAATCTCGTCCGAATACCCCTACCATGTTATGTCTGTTATGGTAATCTCGTCCAACCTCTGTTTTCCCTAGAGCCGTATTTTTCTCGAAATCGGCGAATTCTCTCGCTTTATTCACTACCTACAAACTATTCCCAATCCATACTTCCGCTTTCCGAATGAAAACGGGTACCTCAAAATTACCGTGACCTGTGCCTTTAATATAATGGACTAGAAATAGGCAAATGCTGGCTAAACTTTTTTGACTTGCGCTCTCTGTCTCCTGACGCCTCTCTGCTACTGAAAATATTTATGAAGCATTAATTTGAGGGATTCCAACCAACAAGGACCATTTTTACCGAGAATGAGAAGCTTTGTCTACAAGAAGAAATTGTAGGATGATTTTGAAAGTACCTTCAGTCTGAGCTTTTGTAACTACTCACAAATTGAAAATTTAAAAGATCCGAAACCTTTGAGGAAACGATCCTTATAATAAAAAGTCTCAATCGTATATAACTCTGGGCAACAGAGAAGTTCCCGAGTTCCAAAGTTTCATACGTGATATTGCATTATTTCAGGTTTCTCAACTCGGTGATGCGGTTACGGTACTGCTCAGTCAACTTTATACACTCATCTTTTGGACCCTGATTATAGTGATACCGGTGTTATGTGTCTCTATATTATTGATTACGGTAGGATGTCTGATACGCAATTGTCGTAGACCAGTGCGATATATCCCTCACTACCGAGAAATTCCTCTTGTTAGAGAAAACTACAACTCATCAAAGGTGTTCCGTGAAAGTACTGAAGAAGTGTGAGATGTCTGATATCCTCTACAAATCCATTTTTCATATATTATTTGTATTTTGATCGAATAAACTGATAAGAAATCCGTAGCCACATTCAGTGACAGCAGAAGACGTCCAAAAATGGAGCTGTATGTGCTCAGTTGGTCGATAAAGATGAAAAGATGAAGAATTGACAAAAATTATCAAGATCATCTTGAACTAGCCCACGACTTTCCTCATCGTAAGCGGAAACTCTTAGGGAGTAGGGGACTGAATAGTTAGATGAGGCAACTAACCAAGAGCCGCTCTGGGCGGATCGGAAAGAATATATTTGAAATGAAATGCTTCCCAAAGCTCAACCCTCGGAAGTGGGTGACATGTTAAGCTGATCAAAGAGTTCTATAGGAAAAGGGATCAGCCGCTGTCTCATCAGCCTTTTTTGGAAGAAAAATATAATGTCTTTGAGTGCTAATCAGTCTTGTCTTAAGAATGCGCCCCCGCGCTCGACTTCTTCTCCGAATCGTAGAGGCGTTTTGAATGCGTATGTGGCCTATACAATGACCTGCAGTGGTCAAACGATGTACAAATGGATGCTTTTACTCTCCTGGACAAGTCTGGTACCAACTGACCGGCTGCGTGATGGAACGTATGGTTAGCCTAGGCAGATATCGATTCGGGATTCGAACCTGCGACCATCTTGCGTGAAATTCACTTGCCTCTACACCACCGCCCCTCTCATTTTTTGATACTACTCAATAATGTAATACCCCTATAATATCGATGTTTCCACGGAGTAGCACTCACTTGTCCCTCAAACCACCATCAGAAATACTTTCCAGAGCTGAGGCCATCATAGACATCCTTTCTCAGTAGATGTTAGCTATTCCGAGAGCTTCCTTCTTATTGACTAGGCTTCGAATATATCATAGCCTTCTGAAAACGTATTTTCAAGCTCTAGATCTCCCGTACATTATGCACTACCTTCATTTAATACTTTTAATTCAGAACGTTTGAACTCTTACTCACAACACAAACTTTACGCTTCGTGCGGAATAAAATTGCGAAGATTTTCCCGAATAAGAAGCTCCCAATACTGGTAAAGCCTACTTAAGAGCAGGCAGGGTAGCTTGAGCGGAGGGATACTTGACAAACCACCCACGTTTCGCGGTTCATAGGTCGTCACCCCTGCAGCTGTTTTACCCATATCGCAATGTCGTCACGTTTTGCTCTCTCGAAAAAAAAAGCCGCCCACTGTTTTTTGCATGTGTCAGCAAGCTTGTTTGCGATTTCATTTCTCTTCTCTAAAACATCTCCATGTGTTCCTCCTACAATTCCAACAAGCATTTCGAATTAGTTACATATTATCTGCTCAATTTTGTTCATAGGCCTTTTTCACTCCGACGACGGTGGTATGGTGGCAAGGGGCGCACACATGGTCCAAGGATCGTATCCGGCCAGGCCATCCACATCTTCCATCACTAAGGGGCCAGTC